AGGTGACTGGCCCAAAGCTTGCAGTTGGCAGCAGAGGGAGGGCCAGAACTTTATTCAGTACTTTACCCTATGCATGTGCTTCTGCCCTATTTCTCAGAACTCTGATTGTGTTCATTTTTAATTTATTTTCATTTTATGCGCATTGGTGTTTTGTCTGCATGTATATCTGTGTAGGGTGTCAAATCCCCTGGAACAGGAGTTGCAGACAGTTGTGAGCTGCCCTGTGGGTGCTGGGAATTGAACCCAGGTCCTCTGGAAGAGCGAGCAGCCAGTGCTTAACTGCCGAGCTACCTCTCCAGCTCCTGATGGTGTTAATTCTTAGAAGCATACCAGATGCAGGGCTCTGGGCTCCAAGTCTTTTCCTACTAAAGTACATTTATGAAATTTTTTGGTCCTTTCTTTTATATACTCTTGTATTCAAACCAGGCCAAATTAAAATTTAGTTGCAAACAGTGTAGAAACTACATAATTCCAGTTGTACTCTCCAGGACAAAGCCAAAGAAGGGGATACTTTAATCTCTCATGGACAGTTTTGATATAGTCAGAGCTCGTCACCATCATTGTTCCTAATCCTTCAAGGAGCCCCGTAGCATCAGGGTGCTAAGGCACGTAGGATTCTCATTCATTCCATTTTGTTTGAGATACGCCATTGTATCACCTATCAAATACTGGAGGTGCTGGGAACCTATTGAGCTGTCCTTCAACAAGTCTGTTTTGTTTGCTTTTTGACACCATCTGTTTAAAAACAAGACTATGTTGAGATGCTAGTTTCACTGGCTTCTCATCTTCCTCTCATTGAAAGCTCTCTGCCCCCATACCTTGTCTTTTGTCCCTTATCCCTTCAGTTCAGCCAGTGTCTCTGCTGATCTTCAAAAGTATAAATGAAGCCAACTTCTGGTGTACTTTTTACTTGGCTGTTTCATTAGCGTACCAAATGCTGCGTGCGCGCTCTCTCTCTCTCTCTCTCTCTCTCTCTCTCTCTCTCTCTCTCTCTCTCTCTCTCTCTCTCTCTCTCTCTCACACACACACACACACACACAAAGGTGTCTTTCTTGGCCTCAACTGAGAATTGCAACCACTGCCCCTCACCTTCCTATTTTTTTCCCCTTCATAACATTGTCCACCTTCTAGTCCAACACATGCTTGTTGTACAGAGCTCTCCATACAAGTCCTATCTATAGTCAGCGTGGGGAGCTTCTGCTTCGCCAGTGTTCACTGCAGGTTCTAGCAGAAGCAGGGTGTTAAAAGTACCAAGAGCATCTTTGCGTTATTAATAGTAGCTACCAACTGCTGTAGTTCATATAGGAGAACCATTCTTAGTTCAAAAGATAGTGATTCAGTCTTGTTTCCTGTTCATTGGAAAGTTTTGTAGGCTGTGGGGTAGATCATTTGTAGAATACTCAGCCTCTCATGTGTAAGACCCTTGCTTTAATCCCAGCACTCGGGAGGCAGGGGAGGAGCATTGCAAGTGTGAGGCCAAGCTCTAAAATCCTTTATGATTGAGATAGTAGTATATTCTTTCTTTTTTTAAGATGTATTTGTTACATATACAATGTTCTGCATGCCAGAAGAAGGCACCAGATCTCATTATAGATGGTTGTGAGCCACCATGTCATTCATGGCTGGGAATTGAACTCAGGACCTCTGGAAGAGCAGCCAGTGCTCTTAATTAACCTCAGAGCCATCTCTCCAGCCCCCAAGATAATATATATTCTTCAAGCTGAGGGAGTTTTGATTTTTTTTGGGGGGGGCATTAATGGATTTTGCTTTATTTAAACAAGAGGAAATTAAGATGTGAGATCCCAGAATAGTTGGTTTTGGTCTTATTGATCATTTTCCTTTAGAAGATTCAGCACTAGTTAACACACATATAATTAAATCTACTTTAAAAACCTGATAGTGGCTGGGTGGTGGTGGCCCATACCTTTAGTCTCAGCACTCAGGAGGCAGAGGCAGGTGGATCTCTGAGTTCGAGGCCAGCCTGATCTACAAAGTGAGTTCCAGGACAGGCTCCAAAGCTACACAGAGAAACCCACTTGATTTTGTTTGAAAGGTTAACTATTAATGTTAAACGTGGTAGAAATTCAGGAGCACCAGAAAGGAAATGTAGAAATACTGGAGCTACCGCTCAGATGCTTGACACTCAACCCTAGTTCTGGTTCTGAGGATGGGCTGGGAGGGAGTGGGAGAGAAGTGGGGAGGGATAGGATTTTGAAAATACTGCTGCAAAAGTGTTTCAACTGAGAATTCTGCACTGTTAACCTTTGAATGTGTTTGCTTCCAGCTTCTTACCTATGTACACACTTGATGTTTAAAAAAAAAAAGGCAAAAATAACTAAGCATTTTGTCTCCTTTTTAAAGATTTATTTTTATTTAATATGTAGGAATTTTTACCTGCATGTATGCTTGTGCATTGTGTGTGTGCATACACTGCCAGAAGAAGAGATCTAATTCCCTGGAACTGGAGTTACAGACAGTTGTGAGCTGTCACATGGTTGCTGGGAATTGAACCTAGGTCCTCTGGAAGAGCAGCCAGTGTTTTTAATCACTGAGCCATCTCTCCAACTTTCACTTTGTCTCTTGATTTATTTATTTTTATTTTTTTTCTTATTTTATGTGTATATATCTGTTTGTGCCATGTGAGGCCAGAGAATGTCAGATCTCCTGGAGCTGGAGTTACAGGTAATTGTGAGCCGCCGTGTGGCCACTGGAAACTGAACTCAGATCTTTAGCAGTTGCAGCATCTCCTCTTAACTGTTGAGCTACCTCTCCAGCCACCCTTGTCTCTCTGAAAGGAATATTTAGTGTTGTATAAAATCTCTTGCTTTTAGAGACAGGGTCTGACTGTATCACCAGGCTGGTCTCAGACTTGAAACCCTGCTTTTTCCCCCGATGAGAGTCCTGTAGCACTACCTTGAGCAGATCAAGTAATCAAGAACCATCCTTTCCATAGTCTGTTTCGATGTCTACTGCAGCCATGGCTTTGTAGCCTAGTTAGAATGTCTTTGCAGCTTTGATATATGTGGTTGAATAGAATTTCCCCTAAAGCACAGAGCATAAGTACTACTTTATCATTTAAATAGTACTATATTATCAATACATCAGTCTGTTATGTGGTTTTGCCTTGTTTAAAGAGTATTTTTAATTTATTCTTCGGCAAATTTATACATGTATTCTTTGTATCTTGATCATAGCCACCCCCACACTTCTTCCTTCCACTCTTCCCCAGAAATTCCCAATATGCCCCCCACCTTTATGACCTCGTTCTTCTCTCTCTCTCTCTCTCTCTCTCTCTCTCTCTCTCTCTCTCTCTCTCTCTCTCTGTTTTGTTTTTCAAGACAGGGTTTCTCTGTGTAGCTTTGCGCCTTCCCTGGAACTCGCTTTGTAGACCAGGCTAGCCTCGAACTCACAGAGATCTGCCTACTTCAGCCTCCCGAGTGCTGAGATTAAAGGCGTGCGCCATCACCGCCCAGCAACTTCCAGTATTCTTTTTTTTTTTTTTTGGTTTTTCGAGACAGGGTTTCTCTGTGTAGCTTTGCGCCTTTCCTGGAACTCGCTTTGGAGACCAACTTCCAGTATTCTTAAAGCTTAACCTGAACATTAAATTATTAGCATTTTCCTAGCATTACAAGGAGTTTTTTTCCTTTTAAGACATGAGCACTTCTATTAGCTTGGGATATCTCTTAAGCATCCCTAAATTTCTTTGATGAAAAATTAATATTGATGCAGCCTTTGAACCAAAGTTATTTATGCGTTACAGGACTTTCTTGCTGTAATAGTAGATAAAGCTTTAAACTGTTGACACATAAAGGTTCTAAAGACAAGAGTGGGATTATTTTGGAATGGCTAGAGCAAAGTCTGAAGTGCCTATGCTTTTGTGTTCTAATCCTTGTTACCTAATTTGAGGGATGTTATAAGGTTTTGGGGATTCATATAAGGCTCCTCTGAGTTAGCCATGTCTGTTTCCATAGCCTCTTCCTCTTTCCATGTGTGTTCTCTGATTGTGTCCATACTTTGTCCACACAGCAGTTACTTCTTCTTGTCTCTGGATCTGCTGCTACAGTGACCTCTGGGAGAGTGTGCTGTCGCATTTTTGTACCCTGAGTAATGACTGCCCAATAGGTGCTGACAAGCATATTTGGAAGTAACAATAGAACCTGTGGGAAGGGGATGAGAGGGAGTGTGGGGACAGTGATGATGAGAGTCATCCTAAAGGAACCCATTGGAAGTGTGGGATAGGGAACATGGTAATACTATGGCACAATGAGAAGCTCGGAGTTTCTTCTTAGGATATTGTAGTTTGCATTCGTATATAGTGATTAAATCACTAGTTTTAAGTTTAAAATGAATAAATTCCTCCTTATAATTTAAACAGCGAATTTTTAAGTTTATACTTTTCTCTAGGAATAAATTTTAAAAGTTAGATCTCTGACAGATTCAGCTACCTTAGAGAATGTATTTTTAAGTCCTTGCCTTATTTCTTGGTTGCCTCAATTTTAATCAGAATTGACTTTGAGTGGATAGATTCAGAGGGACTTTTGTGGTTTGGAAGCAGTGCTCTCCTAGCTTCAGCAGCTTCCTTCATGTCCCCTGTGTGGCCAAATGATACCTGTAGATATGCCTCTGGAGTTCAAGTGCAGGGTCTTCAGTAAAGCTCCAACAGTGCAGCTGCTGTGAACGTTTCTTAGCTTTCATTGTGGTACGAGTTATAAATCATTTAGTGTTACATAATATTCTCTTTTGGCAAGTTCTTCATAATTCAGGAGACAATTGCTTTTAAGATTTTCTTATACAGAAAGCTGCATGGTCCCAAAGTTTGTTTGCTTGTCCTAGGACTCTTGCGTTTTAGTTAGTTGGGGTGAGTAGCCAAAGACCTAAGGTTGAAAGTAACGCTTTGAGTGTTGCCACCTTCCCAATCCTGTATGGTCTCCAGTACTGACAAGTTAAAGTTCGTTGTTCTCTGCATCCTTTGTGCTGCTAATGAACATCTCTTTTTGCAGGATTCATGAATAAAATTTTCCACCCCAACATTGATGAAGCGTAAGTAACTATTTAAAAATGTTTAAATTTGAATTTCGCAGCAGCTGTTCTTGATTAATTAGAGGTCGTCTCTCTTTCCCTGTTGTAAAAGAACCCTCAGTTATCCTTTGGGTGTTACTGGAAGGCAGCACTGTATGAATGGTCACTTGGACTGTAGAGTCCTAGGGATGGGATCATCTAAGTCATTGAGGTTCCAGCACAATTATTGATTGTACTGTTACTTTTTTCCATTTTCATGACTGGGATCCAGCTGGAATAACCCTCATCTCCATTCTTAAGTGTAGACCCAACTTGAAGACCCATTGTCAGCATATGGATTTACTGTTTTCAGCCCTTAAGATATTTGACAAATGTGAATAATGATCGTTTATCTTAATTATATATTTCTTAATGACTGTTTTTAAATGATTCCATCATAGCCCGTCTTGTCCTTCCAGTGCTGGTTATTTGGACTATACTTTTCTTTGTCCAGCTTCAGTTTTTGCTGTTTCAACAACTGCATAGGAAATTTTTGTGAACCTTGTATGGGTAGGTTACATGTGTACATTGTGCCCCTAATCTTTAATGCCTTATATATCCACCATCCTAACGACAGGATGTTCTCTGAGGTAACCCCAGGAAAGTAGATTTAGGAATTTAGTAGGATGTAATACTTTAATCTGTAGTGCAATAATGTCAGGCTCTCTGCTACCTTTACGAGACTTTACGAGAATATGCACACCCTTGACTGTATAGTGAAATTCTGTCCTCAGGGAATCACAAGGTGGATCTACCCTTGTTCCCTGGGTTAATTCTCAACACTTGTTGCTTTAGATGTTTTCTTCTTCATATGGTTGGTCTTGTTCCTTGTTGGATGTAAACAAGGCGCAAAAGAGCTTGTAAATACCTGTGCTTCTCATCTTCTTTACTCCCAACTTCATCTTAAAGGATGTTACAAAGTGTTTTTGATAAAATTAGCTGCCGGAAACATGCAACTAGATTTCTAATTTTTTAAAAGTGCCATTTTTTTTCATCTGTTTCAGGTCAGGAACTGTGTGTCTAGATGTAATTAATCAAACTTGGACAGCTCTCTATGGTGAGTTTGGCCATGGAATATTTTTTGGAGATACTGAGACATTGCCTCAAAAGAATGTTGTTTGGCTTTTTTTCTTTGGTGGTTAATATGTTGTTTTGGGAATGGGAAAGAATTTTGAGGGGCTGAGTGGGAAGGTTTGCTCAATAGAAAAAAATGGGCATGGTTAGGGAGATGGCTCAGTGGTTAAAAGTTTTTGTTGCACAAACATGAGGCTGGAATCGGAATCCCCAGGACTGGTGAGAGTGCCAGGTGGGCATGGGACTGTCTGCAATCACAGCCTCTCAGGTCAGAGACTTGGGAAGGGAATTCAGTGAGACCAGCCAGATCAGGGGCCTCTGGTTTGGTTGAGAGACCCTGCGTCAGTGACTAAAGTAGAAAGAACACGTGCGCACTATGGAAATGGAAATGGAAAGAGAAACAGTCTGAAGTGCAAACAAACAAGTTAATGAAGGGCTGAAGAGATGGCTCAAGAATGGTTAACAAAGCCGGGCGGGGGTGGCGCACGCCTTTAATCCCAGCACTCAGAAGGCAGAGGCAGGCACATCTCTGTAAGTTCAAGACCAGCCTGGTCTACAAAGCGAGAGTTCCAGGACAGCCAGGTTTACATAGTGAAACCCTGTCTCGAAAAACCAAAAAGAAAAAAGGGGGGGAAAAAGAATGATTAACAAGCTGCCCTTGCATGGGACCAGAGTTCAGTTTCCTGTACCCATGTCAGGCTGCAGTTGCCTGTAACTTTTCAGTTCCGGGAGATCTGATGACTCTGGCCTCAGGTACCTGCATTCATGTGAATATACCTACCCACTTTAAACATATTTTTTAATCTTTAAAACAAAATTTCTGTGGGCCAGGTGTGGTAACCCACACCTGTAACTCCAGCAGCACTCAGGAAGCTGAGGCAGGAAGAAATCTGAGGGCATTGCTAGCTTGCTGGCTGCACAGGGAGACTGGCTGGAAAATTAAAAAAAAAAAAAAAAAGGACAATTTATAAGATTCTGAATTAAAGGTTCAGCATTATTATGTATATAAACACAAATACATATACAAACAGTTTTTTATGGGTTCTGAAACATGCTGTGGTGGGCATTCCAGGGATCTCTTAGGCATCCTTCAGTTCTGAAAGTGGAGACTCATCCATTGTAACAAATCAACAAATGACTGAGTCAGCTCCTGAGAATACCGTGCATGTTGAATATTGCAGAGGTATGAGGAATAGCAAGCTTTTGGTCCTTGGACTTGAGACCTGCTTGGGGAGCTGACAATAATTAAAAGTCTATTTAAAGTCAATCAGTGATACTAAAGCAAAATATTTTTACCTACAAGTCCAGATCCACAGTCATAATTAGACACTCCCTTTTCTGATGTTCCTACCTCATGAGCTTTTCCTGCACTGTTTCTGCTGTTAGTGATCTCTGAATTCATCTTACAGTTCTCTCATCCATCCCCCCTTGACTTGGTATTGGTTGTGTGTGTGTGTGTGTGTGTGTGTGTGTGTGTGTTGTGTGTTGTGTGTTGTGTGTTGTGTGTTGTGTGTGTGTATGTTCCTATGTACCTATTTTTTGCTCTACTAGATTGTTGTCTATTTAGGGACTGTTAGGTATGTGTCTGATTTGTCTTTAAGTCCTAAGACTTTTAACACAATGCCTCTCACTAAAAAAGGGTTGCAAGAAGGCCTAATAGATAAGAGTTGTTGAAGACACAAGAAAAGGAGGGAAGCTGCATTGTCCAGAGATGGTTTCCTAAAGACTGTGAGGAGAGCCTGGAGTGATGATCACACCTTTAATCCCAGAGCTTGAGAGGCAGAGGCAGAAGGATCTCTTCAGGTTGAATTAGCCCAGTCAAGAGACCTTTTCCCAAAAAATTAGACAAATGAAAAAGACTTGTAAAGACAAGGATGGGTATATGAGAGAAGTTGGAGCGAGGAACAGGAAAGGAGAAATGGTGTAATTATATTGTAACCTCAAAACAGAAAAGAAATTTAAAAGGCAATGCTCATGAGAGCTTTTTCCACTGTTGGTCTACCCACAGCCTGAAAGCCACCTTTCTCAGACTGGTTCGTTGATGAGATCACTGAGGATGGTTAGTTGCCAGCAGCACATAGTTCACTCATTTCAGAAGTATTTCCTCTGGAAGTCTGTCTCCTTATCTTTATGTGGCTGTCCCTTTTCTCAACCTCAAGCATTACTTTCTCAGAGATGCCTCCTTTCCCAGCCAGCCTATCCTATAACATCTTGTTTTGTGTTTATTTTAAAGCTATTTATTGATCTACTGGATTGTAAGCTCCGGTAGAGTAAGACTTCATAAATTTTGGGCATTAGCTCAAGAAAAACTTGGTTTTTTTTTTTTGGTTTTTTGAGACGGTTTCTCTGTGTAGCTTTGCGCCTTTCCTGGAACTCACTTGGTAGTCCAGGCTGGCCTCGAACTCACAGAGATCCGCCTGGCTCTGCCTCCCGAGTGCTGGGATTAAAGGCGTGCGCCACCACCGCCTGGCGAGAAAAACTGTTTTTATTGTTGTTGTTTTGGTTTTGTTGTTTGTTTGTTTTCCAAGACAGGGTTACTCTATGTAGCAGCCCTGACTGTGCTGGAACTTGCTCTGTAGACCAGGCTGGCTTCGAACTCACAGAAATCTTCCTGCCTCTGCCTCCTGAGTGTTAGGATTAAAAGAGAAACTTCTAAAGATTCTAAAACTTTTTTTTTTTAATTTTTTATTTTATTTTTTTTTTTTTGGTTTTTCGAGACAGGGTTTCTCTGTGTAGCTTTGCGCCTTTTTCCTGGAACTCACTTGGTAGCCCAGGCTGGCCTCGAACTCACAGAGATCCGCCTGGCTCTGCCTCCCGAGTGCTGGGATTAATAAAACTTATTTTTTATGTTTAAGGGAGTTCTGCCTGTGTGTGTATGTGTACCACTTGCATGCTCAGAGCCTATGGAGGCCAGAAGGATCAGATGACTTTAAGCAGCCACGTTGGTGCTGAATCAAGCCCAGGGCCTCTGCAAGAGCAGCCACTGTCTTAACCACTAGCTATCTCTCCAGCCCCTAGCCCCAGACGGTTTTTTTGTGACCGTGGATATATAAGCATGTACAACAAATACACAAATTAAACATCTACTGGTAACAAACCATATTTTAGAACAATTCTTTGAGCTGGGCAGTGGTGGTACACTTTAATTCCAGCACTCAGAAGGCAAAGGCAGGCGGAGGCAGGTGGATCTTGTGAGTTCGAGGTCAGCCTAGTCTATAGAGTGAGTTCCAGGACGGGCTCCTAAGCTGTCCTGGACAAAGAAACCCTGTCTCTGAAAAAACAAAATAAAAAACAAAACAAAACAATTCTTTGGCGTGCATATGATTTTACTGTTTATTAAAAATGAAAGCAAACTTGCATGCTAATAGAGGGTGATGAATTTGTGTATTTTTAAAGAATTAAATATTGAATGAATATTTGATACTACCAAGTATAAAGCATCTTGGATGTCAATACTGAAGGCCACCCATTGTAGAATATTATTTTAAAATGTGTTATATTTATTTATGCTGTGGAACATTTGTTTAATGATGCAAAGATGTGTTGCATTCCTTTATATTGCATTTGTTTAACTCTGTGCAGCTGTGATTCTTTGCCTAAAACACCTGATGGTCTAATAAAGAGCTGAATGGCCAATAGTGAGGCAGGAGAAAGGATAAGCGGGGTTGGCAGGCAGAGAGGATAAATAGGAGATGTCTGGGAGGAGAAAAGAAGGAAGAAAGGTCAAGGAACAAAGAGGAAGGAGGAGGACTTCAAGGGCCAGCCACCCAGCCACCCAGCCACCTAGCTACACAGCTACACGGGCAGACGCGCAGTAAGAAGGAAAAGGTGTGCAGTAATAGAGAAAGAGAAAAGCCCCAAGGCAAAAGGTAGTTGGGCTAATTTTAGTTAAGAAAAGCTGGCTAGAAACAAGCCAAGGGCAGGCACTTATAATTAAGAATAAGCCTCCATGTGTGATTTTATTTGGGAGCTGGGTGGCAGGCCCCCCACCCCCAAAAAAAGTAAAGAGTAATAAAAAAAAGCCAGTAACAGTCACCTTGATTAATATATAATACAAGATAACAGATCTGTGTGGGAACATTTAAAAAGATGTTAGAACTTCTAACTTGATACTTACATGCAGAGGAAAAATGGTATAAATATTGAAAGTATTTTTTTTTTTGTACTTAAACCATTATTTATATATGAGCAGAAAACTTGCACAGTAAAAACATCACAATTCTCAACACACTGCAGTCTCGGGTCTGAGCTCAGGTGTATCGGGCAGCATTCATTGGCATGTACAGCATGACGGCACATGCACCGCAAAGCACACGTATGTTCAGAAGCAGGGCTGCAGTGAGTTCACAGTGCAGCCCAGGCAGTGCTGCTGAGGCCTTTGCATTCCTTCTGTGTTTGATTTTGAATTAATTTTGGTTGCTGCATTTTCTAAAATGTTTAACTTTTTCCAAAATATTTACTTTTTTTCATTCTCTCCCTCCATATGGGGTCAGTGTCCACAGTTGTAAGAAGCTAAATAATAGAAGAGGGCCTTGTCTTGGTATGTTTACACCTATGCTCCTAGAATAGTGTCTGCTGTACAGTAAGTTTCAACCATTTGTTAAACTAAAAAGACAAGACAACCAGAGCACACACACTCCAGGGGTGACTGTGTGTGTGTTTGCACATGTGCACACATGTGTGTATGTATATATGTATGTATGTGTATAAACATTTGTGTGTTTAAATAGATAAACAGTACATTTCTGTCAAGCTGCCTGAACTATTTGACGTAATGTTTTTTCTTAAACTGCATTCACATTTTAGAAATGTACCTAGCAAAATATTACAGCTTTGTTCCAGTTACACTCAAGTAAGTTAGATTGAATTTCATGAACTCTTATATTTTTGGTTGTGAGCCTAGCCTTTAACGGCTGAGCCATCTCTCCAGCCCGAATTTCGTGAACTCTTATACAACTGTCCAGAAAACCTTTCGAGGAAAAG